GTCTTCTCTCGAGTCCAACTAATATTACATCTATATATTTTGGCTTTTCTAAACGCAATACCTTTCTAAGTGCACGTTTGATAAATAGGGTAAGCATCAAGTACTAGCGGCAGGGATGATTAGCAAATCCAACGTAACCGACAATCAAGGGCGCAGTCATATGAGACCAGAAAAAATTTTGAGTTTGTTTACTATAGGGTTAGAGCGATGCCTAGGATTTTAGTAAGGTATTATCTATATGCAAAATTTAGCAAGAAATTTTTTTTTATTAGAGCATAAAAGGTGGTTTCTTATGCAAATTTTCGAGAAACAGGCGATTTTTTTCAAAATGAACGTTTGTTTTGAATTTTTCTGATCGTGTTACATTATATAAAATTGTGACTTATTGTTAGCTGATCGTGTCAGAAGATCATATGACTGAGCTCTTGATTGTCGGTTATGTTGGGACTTTTGGTGCGATTGCCATCGATTAGAACAATGTTCCATAGCTTCATAAATATCAACTTGATCAGAAATATTCATTTATCAAATTCGTCAATAGCGTAGATCTTCTAATTGAATGAAAATACATATAATTAGTTATTTCTTAGTGCCGAATTGTTCAGAATAATCAAACGATATAAGATTGGTGAACTTATATCAGGAACCTTTGCCTCCAATAAGGTTTTGTTCTTCTGATTCTAAAAAATCTTCTAATTCTATAACTTTCAACGAAACACTACTAGATCTTAAACAAAAAGATATTAAAACTCTCCCTGGTTTTTCTACACTAACTATATTTACAAAAAAATGATTATACTGCTAAGAAAATTCGTTATAATTAATTGGTTACTTACATCTTTGTTAGCATCTTTTACTGATAGCGTAGATGACACTGTTATAGATGATGATGAAAGTGGTAGAATTGTAGAGAATTTTGTATTATTTGCAACAAATTTTTCATAGCATTGTCTTGATTATTGTTAGGAGCATCAATATCGTCTTTATTTACAGATAAATCTTTTACGGAAGATGACGACAATGATGGATATGAATTATTCGAACGATTTGCACTAGGATGTCTATCAATTATCAACAGGTCTTCAAAACTTTTTGAGAAATCTTCGGAAATATAAGTTCTGTAATATACCTGTGGCGCTTGCTTTTCTCTAACTTCTTGTTTTCGTTTTTTATTTTTAATTTCTGTTTCTTCACTATTACATCCTGGCATATAAAGGCTTGAAAAGAATTGAGTCTATTTTCAAACTGGGCAAAATATCAGGCTGAGGTTGTTGATAGTTACTTTGTTCGTATTACTCTTACTATCAGTCGAGAAAGATATGAAAAAAGAGACGTAATGTATAAAAATAATAGAGAGATAAGCGAGAAATGATGGTTGCAAAATTGTGAGGAAATGCTTCAGGAACCACAGTTGGAGCGGTGAAATAGGTAGTGGATATCTGTTGGGATTCAGATGCAGGTACAACTGCTGGTGGTATAGTATTGAGATCAGAGTTAGTGTGCTTTGTTATGCATATACTAAAGTCTGGTAAAAGCTCCTCTGTCAGTATAGATTCCAGCACTGTAGAATAAAAATAATAAATCAATTATGATCGAAAAAACATAATCTATTTCGAAATAGTAATTCATAAGCTGTTATTATTATCACATACACTCGCACAAATATATCTTTAAGAGTGTAGCTACTACATGTGGATCTTTCCTAGAACTTTGTAAAAAATTTAAATCTAACCCTATAGTAATAATACTAATGAATAAATTTTTTATAATCAAACACATGTAATCAATTAAATATTATATTACTTACGTTATCCGCTAGCATTAAAGCACCGCTTCTATGGTAAAATCACCTGATTCTTTGTTTTTGACAACAGCTGCAGTCAGATAAGGGCTTTTCTGGAAATAAATATAGCACGAAGATAAACCATAACAAGAATATATGAATAAATGAAAATTTGTAAAAGCAATTAGGTGCCCCACAAGTACGAAAATTTGTACTCAAAACTCGGTCTGCTTAGAATATAATGTTCACGTAAATCAGGAAGAAGTTAAACCAAAAAAAAAAATTAATATGAAATCATAAAGCTGCAAACAGAAGAAATTATAATAA